GTGTATGATTGTGATGTGCATGTTCTTTTCCACCACAATATCTCCTTCTTTTTAGCTACCTCGCCCATTGTTATTGTTATTGTAAAGAATTATAACTGTGTGTTCTTTCACACTACTATGTTGTTATTGAAAGAAAATGGAAAAATTATATTGCTTTTATGTATCAATGTATTTTTTCCCAAAAAATTGTTTTTTTGTAATTACTAAAAAAATGGGCAAAGAGGTGAAGCGTGAGTGGACATGAGGTGGGCTGAAAACAGCTGCCTGTGATGGCACCCACCTGTCACTCAAAGCGACCACGCCCTTAATTATGCATAACTTTAAGCCTTAATATAATTTAAACAGGTGAGTTCAATAAAAATTCAATGGAGAGTAAAACAGTTTTTTGTACCAGGCTGTAAACATGGTTATCTCTGCTGTAAAGTTGGGCATTAATATGGGGCCTTATGGAGACTGACTCACTGTTGGAGCCAGCCTCGAGTGGCCGTTGGAGGAACTGCAGTTTTTTTTTTGTTTTTTTTTTACTTCCGTATTTGCTTCATTTGTCCACAGTGCAGGTTGCTGCTGTATAATAACGCATTGATAATGACACTCATCCCTTCTGTCTCCATCCACAGGTCGTAATATGCTCCTGGTTGGCGTGGATGGTCCCAAGGTCCCCTGTGAGGAGATCCTAGTGAAACATTTGGGCAACCGCTTGTATAACGTCAGCTACCAGCTCAAAGAGAAGGGAGAGTACATCTTGGTGGTCAAGTGGGGAGATGAACACATCCCGGGCAGTCCCTACCACATCACTGTCTAAAAACCCAGCTCCACAATCAGAAACTTAAACCACTGTTTTAAATTCTATCTAGAGTCTAACCAATCATTGTTTACAGCTACAAGTCCCTCCTGTGTTACAAATTAAGATTCCTGCAACTATTTAACCAACTAGAAAACAAACTCTCACATTAGATTTCTGTTTTTTCCACAAGTGAATATAACATTGTCACTCTAACCCAGTCCAGAATCACCCAAAGATCAATGTTCCTCTTTACGGTCATTCGCTCCATTCCTCGTTTCATTCCTCCGCTAAGCACATCATTCAGTACATTTTAGGGAGGAAAAAGATGCACCTTTTTATTACTGTAAGCCAGCAGTGGACATTAGATTTGTCTGAGCTAGTGTAGAATAATAGGATAGCTTAGCATAGTGAAGCAGCAGTAGATTTCTGGCCCCGCTGAGCCCGGCATTGGATGGAAGGTTACTGTTTACACTGGAGGAGCTACTCTTACATACATACATATATAATGGATTCAGTTTTATATAAACAATCACAGGACCTGAACCAAAGGGTGTCTTTCTGACCTGTGGGTTTCTATGTAAGAATGTTACACACTATGGCACACTTTGATACAAGACCTTTTATTGTCTGTATAAAAGTCAGATGAACGGCTTTGTCCTTTACTTATAACAACAAACGCTCAGCACTGGCCCAGTCCACTCCAGCATGTGGTGTTCATGATGCTCTTTAACTAACTCTTTTACCTGCTGCTAGTGTGATCCAGTTTTAGTCACTGCTGTTCCTGAAAGCCGTAATATGGATTAGCATAGGGAAACAAAGATTAAAGGTATGGCGACATAGGTGAAAAGCCACATTTCACAGAAGCTTTCTCGTGGTTTGTCTCACACGTGCTCCCTCAACAACACTGCTGGGAAACTGCGCTTTTCGTGTGTTTTTTTTAACGTGTGACACCAACATGTGCTCTGCATGTTCATTAGGATACAGACAGCCTCTGATTCAGAATAGCATCAACATGACATGCGGTGTGGGGATTCACCTTTTGAGTATGGAACTTTTTTTTTTTCTTATAAGGCTTAAAAAGGGATGTTTCTTAAGTTGTGCTGGACAGAAGGGCTGAAGGTGATGATGTGGTTTGTCACGTCCTGAAAAAACGATGACCAAAAACAAATGAGAACAGATGTTGCTTTGTTTTCTGCTCAGTGTTTGTATCTCAGCCACCCCACCCCGCCCCACCCACTCCCTCCCTTTATCCTTCCAGCTCGCTTTGTGCGTAATCTATCTTTCAGAAAAAATCTTGTCCTAAATAAAAAGGCTTTAAAAGTGTTTGTAAGACAGTATTTTGATACACAATAAAGTTGTTTAAGTATTTTGTCAGTCTAACGCCGTTTTTTTTTTGTGTCTTCAAACTTTGATGAGAACGTTTTGTCTGGTTCATGTTGAGTATATGGTGTAAATTAACATTCTTAATCAAATATTAACCATACAATTATTCCAAAGTAATTGAGATTCTAGTAGGGACCAACAGTGTGCTGGTGTTATACTGCCCTACAATGCCAAAATGCACAAACAACATATTTGCTGAAACCTTCACTATATTCTGACAGTGGAACATAAGACGGTAATCTGTGGAAAAAAACCAGCCAGAGGAACAGGATTTTTAGCACAGATTAATAACGTTACCTACTGCAGCTTTAAAACCTTTTTAACCTTCTTTATCAGCATATGAAAAATATCATGCCATAGAAATGTCAAGTAAAAGAAAAAACCACCACAAAGACAAAGGCAGTCACAGCTAGCCTCAGCTAAAGCTAATTTACAGACTTACAGACACGTTTCCTGTGACTGAAAAACCGATTTTGATGCTCCAACATCTCAATTTGTTTACTACATATATAAAGCAGTAGATCAAATCATCATCATCATCATCCAAATATAACCAAGAAAGTGACACCAGATAAGCTAGTCCTGCTAAAAGCTGTCTAGCCTAGCTTAGATGCCCATTCGATAGACATTTTTCAAGGTATGACATGAAATAGGGCAAACAGGTGTTACCAATGATACTAGTTATTCTCCCATTCCATTTAGAGTAGCAGAGCCTTTCCAGTGGGCCAACATGCACAATAGCAGCACCCTGACTCTGACTGTTTGACCTGAATAGGGCTGGGAAAAAGGCATACACAGACTACAGTATCTTATTGGTCTGATAATTACTAAAAACATTTTACAACCTATATAGCTGTTATACACTTTCATAATTAGTCTTAACACAAACCCTCTTTTCTGAACTTCACTGTTTCTGTAGTTGCTACTGTCTGCCTTTATAAGGCAATATAGTAAGCCTTAAAAAGTAAAGTGCTCAGCTCTTTTAAGTGTTTTTATCTAAATGTGAAGGTCATTCTTCTCGTCAGTAATACTGATGTACAGAGTAAGCATGGAAGTCATGCTAAGTGTCTATCCCAGTGAGTGGGAAATGTGTACATTACTGGAGTGTGCAGCCAACGCCCTCCCTGGAAAGCCGCAACTCCTTATTAGGCCTGAATCATTGTCTACCTCCAGAGGCCGCTGCAGGAGAGGGGATCTCACTGAAAGTCTCCATGGAGCTCTTAATGCTCCAGAGCTGCGAACCCCAGGGCTACCTTTTTCATGAAGCCATTTTATTATTAATCCAATCCAATCCAACTTTATTTGTTAAGTACTTTAAAACAACCAAAGTTGACCAAAGTGCTGTACAGGAGAATAAATAAGACATCATAAATAAAAGACATAACAGCTCACATGAGGCGCAAAATAACATATAATACAACAATAAAATGAAAAGACATGAATAAAAATAATAACCATGCAATAAAAAGCAATCAAAAAGTAAAAATAACAAATACAAAAAATAAATCAAGTAAATAAAGTCGACATCTTACTAGGTGTCAAAGGCCACAGAGAAGAGATGGGTTTTAAGACTGGTTTTAAAAGAGAAGAGGCCTGTTTAACGTGCAGAGGCAGATCATTCCATAATTTAGGAGCAGACACAGCAAAGGCCCGGTCCCCTCTGAGCTTCCACTTAGTTTTAGGCACACTCAGGAGCAGCTGATCATCTGACCTGAGGGGGCGGACGGGTATATAGGGGTGTAGAAGCTCAGATAGGTAGGGCGGGGCAAGACCATTCAGGGATTTAAAAGCAAATAAAATAATTTTAAAATGGATCCTAAATTGAATAGGCAGCCAGTGGACTAAGACTAACTTGACTCTTTGTTAAGTCTAAATGCTGCTCAGGCAACCACAGAAAGAAACCATTTAGTAAAATACATTTTAAGAAGGGTACGGGGACGCTGGAAGTCAGTTAGAGTTGGAGATGCTGAGAGAAAGTTTATATAACATCACACTAAATGCTAAATGCATAACATTCACATGGTTTTGCATTCATTTGAATAGCCAGGACAATTTACACAAATTGTATTGCGTTTAACTGATAAAACGGATAAACAAACAAATACAAGTGTGTAAATGTAAATCCCAGTAAAAAAGGAGAAAGTCATCTTATGTTTAAATGTTTTTATGAATGAATGGTTTTCATTATGTCAGATTTTAGGGGGTGCTGCAGCCCCCTCAGCACCACCACTTCCAGCGCCACTGAAAGAGAACCAACAATAATTTAAGATTTCAAGTAATGAATCGGGATCATCATCATTGTTCATATTAGTAGTAGCAGGCTAATAATACATTTTCCAACTTTATTTGGTTTGGACACAGATGCCATAAAGAGTAAAAAAAAACAAATGCCTTCAAAAACAGGTCTTCAAGGTAGTGTAGATCATCACAGCCCTTTTTTTTTGATAAAGTAGAGTTTCAAAGTAAAAGTGCTCTGTTCTCATCCTTGAACGGGTTTTTTATTTATTTAAGAATCATCAATCATAAAACACTGTTTTCATAAAACACTTATATAAATATAAATAAACGTCTATGACAACATGCAATGTGTTCAGGAATGTTAGTTTTATATTTCTTTAGAAATTGTTTTGTTGGATAAAATGAATGTGGCAGTGAGCCAGCAAAAACGTGGTGGTGTAACATTAAACACTACATTATGCTATAATGCAGATAAGACCTACCACAGTTCTTTAATAATTCACTGTATAAGTGAACAAATGGCCTTCAGTAAGCAAGTGTTTTAGCAACCGAATGAAGGTTTCAGCCCATTGAGTATGCTGGTAGGCTGGTACAGTAGTAGTACAGTAGGTGTGCCAAGTTTCGTCGGCCACATTTCTTCAGGAGTTCCACCCACTCTGCTGCAGTAGCTTCCTGCTTTCAGTCACATTTCCACACACAAACTCTTGGTCTTATCCGGAGGTAAGTGAAATAATTACAACTTTAAAGCACAAACTCGGCCACTTCCTCTTTTAAACGCTTGCGTTTGTTGCTCGCGCGATTACAGTGTGTCTCTGCTCTGCCGCGCGGACGTTTTCACGAGGCATTGTGGATTATGGATAGAGCTGTAAAAGTGTTGCAACATGTAACAAACATGGAGTTATACGTCAAATGATTTACTTTGATTTTAAAACGTTACTATTAACCGACCACTGCAGAGCTTTTACTTAAAGTTTCCTGCTTTCCTGCTGGAAAAAGCCTGGTGGGCAACTTAAGAGTGTCCTCCCTCTATCTATCTCTATCTATCTATCTATCTGTCTATCTATCTGTCTATCTATCTGTCTATCTATCTATCTGTCTATCTATCTGTCTATCTATCTGTCTATCCTGCAGATGTCTTTGAGTGAGAAAAGTGATGAGGAGATCAGCGAGTTGCTTGCTGAGTATGGCATCAAACATGGACCCATAGTAGGTAAGAAAAGTACCGACATTAATTATGTAATTACCGGGTTCACAATGGAAGCCCATTTCCGGGGAAAGAAAGATTCTGTAAGTCATTAATGAATAAGTATCAGAATCAGAATCAGAATTTGGTTTATTGCCAGGTATGTTTTTACACATATGAGGAATTTGTCTGTGCATTGGTGCATATAATATACAAATCACACAAAAATATACAAATCACACAAAAATCATACAAGAATAAAGTACTTTTAAAATATAAATAAATAAAGATAGGAAAACTGTACAGAAGACGGGAGTGCATTAATGTAATGCATATATACAGGGTGGGTATAAGAGTCAGTGTCAGTGGGGGGTCCGGGCCTTGTTAATGATGCCAGCTGCAGACGGAAAGAAACTGTTTCTGTGGCAAGAGGTTTTGGTCCTGATGGACCGCAGCCTCCTGCTAGAGGGGAGTGGTCAAAGAGTTTATGCCAGGGGTGGGAGGGGTCAGCAACAATCTTGCCTGCAGGCCTCAGGGTCCTGGAGGCGTACAGGTCCTGGAGGGATGACAGATTGCAGCCGGTCACCTTCTCAGCAGATCGAATGATACGCTGCAGTCTGCCCTTGTCCTTGGCAGTGGCAGCAGCTTAGATGGTGATAGAAGAGGTAAGGATGGACTCGATGATGGCGATGTAGAAGTGTACCATCATCGTCTTTGGCAGGTTGAACTTTCTCAGCTGCCGCAGGAAGTACATCCTCTGCTGGGCTTTCTTAGTGAGGGAGCTGATGTTCAGCTCCCACTTGAGGTCCTGGGTAATGATGGTACCCAGGAAGCAGAAGGACTCCACAGAGTCAACTGGGCAGTCACACAGGATGATGGGGGTGGGTGGAGCTGGGTTCTTTGTAAAGTCCACAACTGTTTTCAGAGCGTTTAGCTCCAGGTTGTTCTGGCTGCACCAGGTCACCAGATGGTCAATCTCCCATCTGTAGGCGGAATCAGAATCGGGGTGGTGGTGTCATCTGTGAAGTTCAGGAGCCTGACATACTGGTGACTGGAGGTGCAGCTTGTCCTGTAACAGAGCTGGGATGATAGTGTTGAAAGCAGAGCTGAAGTCCACAAACAGGATCCTGGCGTAGATTCCTGGGGAGTCCAGATGCTGGAGGGTAAAGTGCAGGATTACTGCATCATATACAGACCTGTTGGCTCTGTAGGCGAACTGCATGGGGTCCAGGAGTGGGTCTGTAATGGCGTTGAGGTGGGAAAGCACAAGGCGCTCAAAAGACTTCATGACCACAGAGGTGAGGGCAACAGGTCTGTAGTCATTGAGTCCTGTGGTCCTTGGTTTTTTGGGGACAGGGATGGTGGTAGAGGCTTTGAAGCAGGCTGGCACATGACATGTCTCCAATGAGGTGTTGAAGATGTCAGTGAACACCGGAGACAGTGCTTCAGGGTGGATGGAGAGACAGAGTCTGGCTGCTTTACAGGGGTTCTGCCTCTTAAAGATCCTGTTATCGTCCCTCTCCTGAAGGCAGAAAGCCGTCACTATCTCAAAATAATGAGGAATAAACATAAATGTATTATGAGAAACCCATAATATTTTGCCATAGCATCTCAAAATAATGACTTAGTATGACAATGTTTAGACAATTGTAATTGTAAGTAGGGCTAAAGTGCAGGGAACATGCAGGTACATGACATACTGTAGCTGTAGGAATACTTCACTCAAAATGCATAATTTTATGTAGTTGTCCCACCCTATAGTCTGTGAGCCACTGTTGATTGCAAAATCTGTACTTCTTCTGTGACTACTGTTTTACATTTTATAATGATCCTTACTGCCTGAAGTAATGCTGCAGAAGTGAAGTGTCAATGTGCAAATACTACTAGCCCATTTATGGGTGAACTAAAGATGCAAGAGTAGGGCATTTATCCTTTGCTAGACGAGCTGCTTTAAAAAAGAACTGGGGCATAAATTTAGAGTACAAATTACTAATAAAATTCAGTAAAAATTGTATAGTTTCCCCACACCAAAAAAGTATTAATTACAACCTTCTTTGGTTGGCACCCCACTACTGATTTGAAATCCATCCATCCTTGGATTCATTTTGGAATTGTGGAGGAAAGATGGAAATGCTGACATTCAGCGGCAGGAAATATTCCAATACTTTGATTTTAACAAACAAAACTGGATTTTAATCGTCGTCAGTCAGAATTTTTGGGGAAAAGGACACAATTAACAATTTTTTGAGTAGCAGAAAAGTAATATAATTAGTATTGTAACTAATTACTGTTGGCAGGGAGTAATAAGTAAAGTAATACTATTAAAAGTAAGCCCAAACTAGCCCTACAGGGGTTATAAGGGTAAGAACTCTAATGTAATTAGGGCTGCACAATGAATGGAAATATTATTGAGATCGCAATATGGCCCAGTGTGCAATATCACAGAAGCTGCAATGTGTTTGATAAAGGTAAAATATGTGACAAACAGCATTATAATGAAGTACTGTAGTGCTGCAGAGACATTGTTTTTTTAAAGGCCGATATATAATGCCGATATCAAAACAGAGAAAAGTAATTTATAACTCTGCTATTCCATTTTCTTTTCTCTTTCAATTTTTTCGATAATTAATCAAAGAGAACAATACATTTGTTTATGCCGTAGATTTCAGAATGTGACTGTATTTAAGGGTGAGTGAGGTAAAGTATTTCAGAAGCCACGTCATCAGCTGCATTATTATAACATTATATGTATATATGATACTAGCCAGTAACGGTTTTGGATTAGATTTGCTGTTATTTAGAATGGGAGAAAAGTGTTCACAGCAGGATGGATTGGAGTTACAGTACAGACCTACCACCTTCCCAAAACTCACAAAGGGGAGTGCTAACATCAGTCCACAGAAGCCACACTGACAGCCTGCCTCCAGATGTGTCTGCCTGCAGATTTGTCTGCTTGCAGATGTGTCTGAAGACATTTTTTTATCATCATCCTCGTGAGCCAGACATCTGCTGACAGATTAATCAGCCTATCTGTAAATTGCTTTACTAGTTCTGCATTTGTCTATACTTGGGCTTCCCCAACTGAGTATTCATTAGTTTTAACCTTTATATTAGGATGCAATATGCTTTAATAAGATGGAATAGAATGAGATAAATACAATCCAACCTCTAACCCATAGAGATCTTCATAATACACCAATTCATTTTAACATTTAACAGGATCAAACCCAAATTCCCCCTTACACTTACACAATGCAGACAAGTCATATTTTGTATAATTTGTTGTTTGTTTACTGTGGTTAGGATATGAAAGCACTGTTAATGTGTTTGTGTGAACACAGACTCTACTAGAAAGCTGTATGAAAAGAAGCTTGAAAAGGCCATGGAGGCCACTCCACTGCAAGCCTCATCTGATAAGACCTACTACAGAGAGGAAGGTAGGCTGTGTGTTACCTGGGGGATTGTTCATGTGTGGGTCTATAAATGTCCCACAGTATGTGTGCAAATGGCAGTTTATTTTCTAGTGTCATCTTCCTTATTGTGTCACCCATAGTTTTTTGACTGTTGAAATCTCAGCCTGCATTCTCCTAAACATCATCAAAAACATCACAAATAATAGAAGAGCTGATCTTACGGGACATTGCTGTAAAACATCAATTATATTTTTCAGACATGTATTATCATTGTAAACACGCTTTAACACTGGGAGCTGTCCTTGTAAAATCTGCCATCAGCTGTTTGGTCTCTGTGAACCTGTTATTATTTCTGCTATTGCCATCTTATGATATTCTCAGACACAATGCAGTAGGTGCAGTAAATGTTTAAATGAATGAGGTCCAAAGTGTGATGATGTGTTTGTTTACAGAGGAGGAAGTCACCTACATCACATACCAGAGTCCTGTGAGTCCAGATTGTCTGCTTATTCCTGTTTGTGCCAAGTGTTTGTGCCTGCTCTGTGACTGTAAATAATCTCACAAACTATCCTTCTTTCATTTTCACAGGTTAGACATGAGGTTTATGGGGATGTGTGAGTACAGTCTTCACACACACACACACACACACACACACACACACACACACACACACACACACACACACACACACACACACACACACACACACACACAAGGTATGTTGATGCTAGATAATGCCCTGATTAACCTGTGAGGGGGGCAGAAATATGTGGCTGGGCCTGTATTAAAGGGTAACTTTGGTTACGGTAATATCACTGTTTGGTTGCTTTGAACACAGCAATATGACTTATTTATGGTTAAATAAAAAGACTCTTATTTTTTCTTAAAAAGGTCTAACTCGGTAGGGATCCTTTCCGTAATGTTGTCAGACACTTAGAATAACAATCTGAACCTGTCATGGGCAGAAACAACAACTTTTAATGGATATACTTTGATGGTTTGCCTAGGGAATTTCCCTTGTGGCGATTTAGGTTGGCTCAACATACCCACATACCTTATACCTTATGCGGTATTAAGCCATTTTTGTTGTTTTGCTTATTACTTTGTAAGGGGTACAATGGGATACTGTTTCATCCCAGTACCTGCTTGTACTATTCACTCTCCCTCTTGCTGCCCCCTGGATCTGTGACTTTGTTAACTGGAGACTTTCAGCAAAAACAAACAGTCAACAATTAGTTAACATATTTGGCTGAATGTAATCAGTTAACAGGGTCACTTGTTACTGTACTAGTACTGCTGGTGTTTGCAGAGCAAGTGAGGGAGAGGCTAGGTGACTTTGTCCTGTGGGGAACTGTAATGCTGGGCTGTGGACTGAGTGATACTGAGTAGCACTATGTTTCAGTCTCCTCAGCCTGGTTGCTCTGGGACTCTTTCCCGTCTTAAACAAATACTGAACGTGATGTAATGATGTGGCGTCACATGCGGCTGTGGTGGTGGCTTGCCATCCCCTCCAATTGGCTTGTCAATAGCGCTATATTTCATTACTTTGGTTATTGTGACAGTGCTATGTGCGCCCCATAAGGATTACGTTGCAGCCCTCTCATTCAGACAGAAAAACATAGGAAAATATGGTCCAGGGTGTAAAAAACCCACAGTTACCCTTTAACCCACCCCCTCCCCCCCTTTATGTATATCAACCCTCTCAGCTCCATGTTCCAGTTCAGTACAGTGCACACAGACACCCAGGAAACAACCAGTACCCCTTAACATTCTAACATCAGCATGTTAATATGCTTATAGTGACAATGTTGACATGTTTAGGTTAGCATAATATTTACCATCTTTACCATTTTAGTTTAGTGTGTTAGCATGCTTTAATTAGCGTTAAACACAAAGCTAAAGGCTGATGGGAATACTTACTGTTAGATTTCATGGCAATCCATCCAATAGTTGCTGAGATATTTCTGTCTGGATCCAAGAGGTGGACCAACCACCGCCATCACTAGCGCCTGCTGCTAGCAAGGATTTAATTTAAATTAAACTTGATTTTAGAAAACACTTTAAACTAGTTGATTTGCAATATTCTTACTGCAATTGCAATTTTTTCCACTTTCTGCTAAATGTGACTACGCATAGCTGTCAGATAAATGTTGTTCAGTCAGACAACTCACATTTAAAATGTTTACTACAGCAGCATAGTATATGGGGAGTGATGAGCAAATACCTTAAACCCCTAGCTGGAGCCTACAGGTGGATGCTGGGGTGGTGGTGGGGCGTACAGCGAAGCAGGCAGCAATACGGATGCAGGGCAACAGCGGCATTGACAGAGCAGAGGGAGAGCTGGGAAATTTTGCAGTTTAAATAGACCGCCGGATTGAAAGAGAGCGCTTTGTTAGTGATTATGGAGTGAAGCATGTCACGTGTATATAGCAGCGCAGCTCGAGTTGACTGCCTGAACTAGCTCACAGGCTTTGCTCCATTTGCATAAAAAGAACAATATTTCCCTCCCTATTTATTGGAGTAGTAGTGGAGTAGCATACAATGAAAATACTCAGGTAAAGTGCAAGTACCCTTACAGTGGGAGCAATAATTATTTGATCCCTTGCTGATTTTGTAGGTTTGCCCACCTACAAAGAATGGAACTGTGTATCATTTTAATCATAGGTACATTTTAACGTTGAGACACAATATCACAAAAAAATCCAGAATAACATCATACAAATTGTATATATTTATTATCATATTTCCTCATGAAATAAGTATTTGATCCATAGAACAATAGGACGTAATACTTGCTGGAGAAACCTTTGTTGGCAAGCACAGAGGTCAGACGTTGGTTGTAGTTTTTCCACCAGGTTTGCACAGATATTGGGAGGGATTTTGATCCACTCCTCTTTGTAGATCCTCTCGAAATCCTTAAGGTTCCGAGGCTGTCGCTTGGCAACTCGTACCTTCAGCTCCCTCAACAGATTTTCGATGAGATTTAGGTCTGGAGACTGCCTAGGCCACTCCAGGACCCTAATATGCTTCTTTTTGAGCCATTCCTTTGTTGCCTTGGCTGTATGTTTTGGGTCATTGTCATGTTGGAAGACCCATCCAAGACCCATTTTCAGTGCTCTCACTGAGGGAAGGTTGTCGCCCAAAATTTCCCGGTACATGGCCCCATTCATCCTCCCCTCGATACGGTGAAGTCGTCCTGTCCCCTTAGCTGAGAAAAACCCCCAAAGCATAAGGTTTCCACCTCCATGCTTCACAGTGGGGATGGTGTTCTTGGGGTTGAACTCACCATTTCTCTTCCTCCAAACACGGCGAGTCAAGTTGATGCCAAATAGCTCTATTTTGGTCTCATCTGACCACATCACCTTCTCCCAAGCCTCCTCCGGATCATCCAGGTGTCCTTTGGCAAACTTCCGACTGGCCTGTACATGTGCCTTCTTCAGCAGAGGAACCTTGCACATGCGGCAGGATTTTAATCCTTCAAGGTGTAGTGTGGTACTGATGGTTCTCTTCGTGACTGTGGTCCCAACTGCCTTCAGGTCATTAACAAGCTCCTCCTGTGTAGTACTGGGCTGATCCCTGACCTTTCTCATGATCATTGATATCCCACGAGGCGAGATCTTGCGTGGAGCCCCAGACCGAGGGAGATTGCCAGTGACTTTGTGTTTCTTCCATTTTCTAATAATTGTTAACAGTTGTTAACTTCTCATCAAGCTGCTTGCTTATTTTCTTGTAGCCCATCCCAGCCTTGTGCAGGTCTACAATTTTGTCCCTGATGTCCTTAGACAGCTCGTTTGTCTTGCTCATGGTGGAAATGTTGGAATGTGATTGATTGTGTGGACAGGTGTCTTTTATACAGCTACATAACGATGTAACGAGTTGACACAGGTGTTTTGGGTAATGAGTTGCGATTAGGAGTGCTTCTTAATGGAAAACTAACTGGTCTGTGGGAGCCAGAATTATTGCTGGTTGGTAGGGGATCAAATACTTAGTTCATGCAAAAATATGATAATAAATTTATAACATTTATATGATGTTGTTATTCTGGATTATTTTGTGATATTCTGTCTCTCAATGTTAAAATGTACCTATGATTAAAATGATACACAGTTCCATTCTTTGTAAGTGGGCAAACCTACAAAATCAGTAAGGGATCAAATAATTATTGCTCCCACTGTATATTGTTGACACCTGTGTATAAGTGCCTTGACTACATGACTACATTTCTAGATTGACATTGAAATTTTCCTCCATTCAGGCTGAAACGAAGAGGCAATGCTGAGCCAGAAGAAGACGAGGAATCAGACCAAGATACAGAGTGAGTCTTGCAGTGTGTAAACTTACGGTGACTTTGAGCAAATTAGTTTATCACCTGGGCTAAATATCACCTTCCCTCCTGTGCTTCAGGCCCCCTATCCAGGTCGCTTACAAAACTGCCAATCACAGCGCAGCAGAATCCAGGGAACCAGCCAGAAAGGCTGGAGGCAGCATGTGGAAAGCGATTCGACTGCTGCTGCTGTTAACTGTGTTAGCAGCCGTCCTCTACTATGCCTACTGCCGTGTGATAAACAATGAAGATCCTTTTGGGATTCAGTGATCTGATTTGTTGTTAGGATGTCAGGGTTATTTTCCATTCCATTGAAGGCATTTCTTGTCCATAAATGTTATTAGTGGAGAGTGCATCATTCCATATGCCCACATTCCATAAACTTTCTTAGTGTCACCAAATCTTCCGAATTGACCAAAACCAGACACATCAGTCTGTGTATGTATCAAAAACCTGATACATCTTCTTCCTCTGTCTCATTAAGCTCCATTTGGGTACTGTTGGGTCTCTGTAAATAATGTTATAAGGAGTTCAGTCTAGACCTGCTCTTTTTGAAAAGTGTCCTGAGATAACTTCTGTTATGAATTGGCGCTATACAAATAAAATTGAAATTGAAAATTGAAATTGTGTCCAAAAACTATTGAGAACAGATCAGTGAGCCACACTGTTGCACTGAGTTCCTTCATTGCCATGAACACATACTCTATAGTTTATACAGAGCAGGTGGAATAGTTCATCTGTGTGCGGCTGTGATGTTATAGAGTTGAGGCTGTGTTGTGTATTGTATGGTGCACGGGTCTGGAAGAATATACACAAAAATGTTTAGCCCCTGGGAGAATAAAGTTGGCAAACACAAGACCTGTCAAAGAGTGCAACAAGAACACCAAATGTGTATTTACGCGCCACTGAAAATAGTCCCCACTTGCTTTCCTCTGAGTATATATGTGAGTGATTGAAGATTTTCATCTTTAGCAGGAACTAGTGGGCCTGGGGCTGAGAGCCACACACAGAATACAAAGGTCAGAAAGTATTGAGAAGAGTCTAACTCATGGTTCAGCAGTTCTCTAACATGCAGTGTCTAATTTGTTCTTATTTGTGCAATGTACATGATGGCATCATGTAGGACCACAGATTCATGAACTGAGACTCTTTCATATTTCCAAGCTGTCCCCCACATCATGTCCAGTCAAAAACCAAAGGCTGTTGTCTATGTGTGTTAATAAATGTTTGAGGTTACTGTAGATTCTCCTACATGCTTTAAGAGCAAGCTGTATTCGGTTGGTTGCAATCTGCAAGTTCACCACTTGATGCCACTAAATCCTACACACTGGTCCTTTGAATATTAATTGGCAAGAGACATGTTTCCAAACACTCAACACCGTCAAATTCTCCACTGATATAAGTAATTTATTCATTTATTTAGTTACAAAATGAGCACAATTCCACCAATCTAACATTTGAACAGAAACAATAAAAAGTGCTATTATATTTACAAGATAGAAGCTTTAAATAGTTTAGCAAAAAAAGAAAATTCTGTGCATTTAGTGACTGATTGGCTCAACACTGCAGGGGTCAGCCCACTGCAGTGGAGTCACCTGTACCTGAAGGAGGATATGGCAGTGGTCATGTATTCAAACTGAAGTTTCTCGTTGTTAATCTATCAGCTGTGATCCTAAGTGAAGGTTGTGGTCAATGGTCACTGAGGTTGGGGGTTAACTGGGTGATGGATCTCAGCCCGGATCCACAAAAGCTTCACAGCACTAGAGTTTTTTTTTTTTTGTTAAATTATGCTTTTGGTCTTTTATTGCCTTTATTTGATAGAGACAGCTGAAGATAGACAGGAAAGGTGGGTAGAGAGAGGGGATGACACGCAGCAAAGGGCCGTAGCTCGGTTTCAAACCCTGGGCCGCTGCAGCAACTCCATACCTGGGTCGCCAGCTCTACCGACTGAGCTAACCGGGCACCCTTCACAGCACTAATGTGATGGCAGATCCATTAAAGTCTTTCAGTAATCAAAGGTTTGTTACTGGTGAATCTTTGCCCATGACTCATAGTTCCAGCTGATATAGACATTACAAAAAGGCAGCTGTCCGACCACAACCCTTTAAATTTAAATGCTTTGAGATAACAGGTGAACAACTCAGTGTCTTATTTTGGTCCAGAGACTGCTCTAAAGGCCACCAGTCATGTTCAGGTTGGTGGGCAGAGGTGCAAACTGAGGCTCAGGAATCACAGGGGACGCTAGTGACCTGTGAAGAAAACCAAGAGCCAGGTCAGAGGAGTTTACAGCAGTCAGAGAGCCAACTGTATATGTGTTCTGTAATGGCCTACCTGACAGAATGTCCTTCAAATCCAAGCGCTGTGATGAAGATGTTGATGAGGACGGTGAAGAAGACAAAGACTGTTGCTACATTGTTCATTCTGTTCAACTTGGCGTGTTTCCTCACGTCGTTCAGATCATACTTTACTGCCAGCACAGAATCGCACAACCACAAAAACAAAATTAGCTACATAAAAAGTTGATGAGAAAAAGAGGCAGAAAGACATACATAAGGGAAGGAAAGTACAATAGAAACTTTGAAACTTCAATTTAAAGCTGCAGTAGGTAACTTTTATTAAGATGACATTTTGTCATATTTGCTGAAACTTTCACTATATCCTGACATAAACGAGTCAAATAATCTGAAAAAATCAGGTTCCTCTGGCTCCTCCTAGTGCTCCTAATGAATAAGAATTAAGAATTTGCCATACCCAAAAGAAAAATAATTAGCAATATGTGAGGTATGGGTAAACTGAAGTGTAATAAAGAGTTAAAGGAACAGTCTGGACGACCCCCTCTTCCTCTGAGCCACATCTTCTCATCTGATGAATGAGATGATAAGATTGATACCTCTCTCATGTTTAAGACTAAAACTACAGCCTATTAGCTTAACTTAGCATAAAGACTGGAAATGGGGAGCAGTTAGCCAAAGGTCTGTCTCAACGTAACAAAATCCACCTACAAACACTAAAGCTAAAGCTCACTAATTAACATGTTAAATATTGTTTGTTTTTCATTTGCCTAAAAACTGAAGTGAAAAAACAATAAGTTTAAGTTTTAGAGGTTTTTTTGCTGGATGCATGAGAAATAATGTGTTGATCAGTGAGCTTTAGAGATGCTGGTAGGCAGATTTTGTTATCTTTGAAGTCACTAGTCACTGAATTGGCAGTTTGATCCCCAGCTCCTCCTGTCCTCATAAAGGGTCCTTGGACATGACTCTACCTATGGGCACATGGAAAAAAATGTGCCATGAAAGTGCAGTTCATTTATGCTAAGCTAAGCCAACTGGTTGCTTGTTCTAGCTTTGTATTTAGCCTACAAACATGACAATAGTATCAATCTTCTCAAGTAATTCTCAGCAAGAAAGCAATTAAGCATATTTTCCAAAATGTCTAACTATTCTTTTATGCTGACTTCATCATCTTACAGCTTTGAATGCATTAGTTATGCAAACCGGCTAACGCTAGGAAGGAAAGCATGACACACAGAAAGGCAGACACTTGGGGTTTTAGTTAGTTCTAAAGTTGGATTGAATTCTCTTGATTCATCGAATCATCAGTAAAACTATTTGTATACTTTGCTTTTATAGTTGTTGCTACCTTCCAAACATGAAGATTCCAATATCAAAATGTATGTATTTAGAGATGCAAAAAAGATGGAGAAAGGAGGAACAGTAGAATCTGTTTGCCAGCCAACAGAGCCATTTTGTGAACCTGGAAATGTATAAAGAGAACCCCAAATGTTTTATGTTAGAAATGTAGGGAAATTGGAAATATCCCAGACATTTAGAAAAACAGCCGGATGCTTACTTGACTATGTTGGGCAATTAGCATAATTAGCATTAATAAGCATAATTACCTACATGGACAATATTTCAGCAACTGCTTGGACAATTTGGACAATATAGGCGTAGTTATTGAGGAAAAGAGACCCCCAATTTCAAAGTACAAACTGTCTGATGGCTCCCTGTAAACAATGCTTATACAGTTATGCTTAAAATACTCCGCCGCAGCAAAGTTACAGCAGGCTCAATCAAAAAAAGCTACACAGCCGCCTGCCCCCTCCAAGAAGGTAAGAAATTTGGAGAAATATTACGTCTGAAAATTCACACCAATGACATCAACCTTTCATGATTCTAAATTGCAGATCCAATATATTAAGCATGTAAATAACCTCACCTGTGTGGTTTGGGGTCTGTGTTGTCCGTGGTTTTTTAAATCAACTAAAAATAATCCAAATCAGCCCACTTCCGGTTTAAAAGCTCATTTTGTACATTGAATAATATTAAACTCCGACTCCCCAAAATGTAGGGTACTCAACATTTCTGGGTTCATATTGCTGGCAAGTAGACTAATAACAATGGGGAGATGCAAAGTTTCACTTGCCAATAAAGACGAGCAGCAGCCCCACTACGACCTGTAATGTGATGGACAGAGACAGCAGGACGATGAGGGGGATGTAGAAACGGTAATGCGGCCCCACGTAGAGAACGGTCTTCAGTTGGGATGAGTTGGCCATCAGTAAGGCAACGTCTAGCATACTCTGAGCAGCAGTCTTCTTAGTGGCGTAATGATTTATGTTGATGCGGCGATACACTTTTCCAGAAGGGTCCATCATTGCCTGCGAGTATAGAGATAAAGACAAAAGGAAGATGTACTTTATTAAAGGGGGCCCATTCTAATGATTTCCAGCTCTTCTGTGTCTGAGACTGCACAGAGTAGCTTTGCGTGATTTGGCAGTGCCCGGGCGGTGAACAAGCACATAAAAAAAAGGGACATTTCAGGTTCTGTTGAAGAACAAAGTAACACAGGTACTATATCACAGACCCAAACATGCAGAGCCACCTCTGACACCAAAGGATAAAATGATTTGGGGTTCTCCTAAGAAACACTGTTATTCTTTTGTTCTCTTTCACAGGTCTGAGTGCTCTGATTGTGCATGTGTACAAGTCCATGCGTCACTATGTTTTATTCACAGACAAGTGTTAGTATTTTGTTACTATGCACTCTCAGGTGTGGCTGTAAGAGAAGTGGGAGTGGCAGAGCAAGAGGCAATGACTCACTTTGGCAAGAGAGAGAGAGACACAACAAGACTCAACAAGTGGTGGGCCATTCTCTTTCTACAACTCTAGAAACCTCACAGCCTATCACATAAACTGATACATGTGCAGAGTGGGTGACTGAGAGGCAGGTATAACAGTTGTTCTGGGTTGAAAAATCATCCTGGTCACAATGTCTATACCTTTATCTCCTTCTGCACAACTGAGAGAAAGCTGGTTTGTTTAAACCACATCAGGGGCAAAGGCTTTCCCTCAGGGCTTTGTCCAATCCTGTAGCACAAGTAGATGTGATGTCACACCTGCGTGCAACTATCTCTAAGTCACAAAGTGTTCATTCATCTCTACACACAGCTGTCAGCTATGGAAAGAAACACTGATTTCACTCGGGGACATGGCCCCACTGACATTGCTGTAGATAGGTTTCTGAAGTTCCCAACCTGGGGGTCAGGACCCCGACAAAACTGGTTCCAGCACGGAACCAACACTTTGCTGTCTAGAACCAAGAACTGCTCACAATATGGGCTGGGGGCACCTTGTGCCCTGATAGCTCTGTATATAGCTGTTCTGCACATAGATGATACAAACTTAACATTGAGCTAGCTGGCTAGCTAGCGACCGGTTGATCAGCTAACATTACCAAGCAAACCTGGCCACTTATTTCTTACATCAATGTTTCGTTCGTAACATTGTTGTAACTTGAATGCTACTTTAGCTAGTGTGGTGGCAATTTAAGAAAGCATACAAAGTATGATCTTGTCTTTCTGTAAAGTTTTATTCAAGTCATCCATGAACTGTCTCAACGCAACCGTCACACACTCTCGTATGTGAAAGTCCGAAAGAGCCCCGATTGGAAGAAGCAGTATGGTTTTATCCCTGTTGGAGCGTCACTCTAACACAGTTACACATTCCTGAGTTGTGGGACAGTAAACAGACAGATAGTGTGGTGAGATGATCATGTCCTTGGTTTCTTAGTGAAGTCTCAACATCCCGCTGTTTACTTGGACATAGAGTGTAGATAGAAACAGGACTAAAGGTTGTATGCACATAATGGCCTCTTTAACAGTTGCGTATGGTTTTACAATGACCAGGTCAAAGGGTTGTTGTGTCAATGTTACGTTTGTAACATCTATGTGCAAAACAGCTAAATACAGAGCTGGCAATACAGCCAGCTAGCCTAACCTTGGTAACAATAACTAACATTGGAGACGTGTACAGTGACGTAATGTCGTGGCTCTATAGATGAGAGCAGGCATTGGTCACTTTGTTGTAGGTTTTGTTGGCAGTAAAGTTTTAAAGCTATATTGCCAAAGCCAGAAGTACAACATAATTATCATGATTTAACATGAACATAACATAATAAATATGTCTTTGAATTTCTTATATGATAAATACAGAGACAGAGTCCCTAGATCTGCACTGTACCTTGTATTAAACCTATTAATCTCTCCTTCTGTCTGTCTGTCTGTCTGTCTGTCTCACTCTTTCCTGAACTCTCCCCAGGTGTCAAGATGGAGCTTAAAATCGTTGTATCCTTTGGATGATAAATGTTAATATTTGTAATAATTTCTGTAATGATTTTAAGATATTAAAGTAAGTAAAATGATTTATTTGTTAAGTGGATCTATGCTTATTACATTTTTTTATTTTAGAAATGCTACATCTAGAAATTAAAGGTACATAAGTACAACAACATTTATTTTTTGTATAAAACAAGCCAATAATCCTATAGGATTATAAATTATAATAATTATTAGGTCCTTTTGGACTGTTATAAGACTTAATCCTCATAAGTAGGTTTTTGAGTAGGTAATAAATCTTACTGGACTTTATCCAATAGGATTGGTTCAAAAATCAAGTAGAACTTCTAACTGGATCTATGAACCATATAGTGAGATATAGCCTAAGTCTGTATATTTTTAACATGTTGTAGCACGCTTTAAAATCAATAAGGTCTCACGACCCCCCATGAAGCGTTGGTGACATAAATGGGGGACCCGAACCACCGTTCTAAAGTAATATCTGTACTTTCACTAGTTTCTGAATCCTATCAGCTTTTTATTATTGTATTATTATTATTATTATTATTATTATTATTATTGTTATTGATCTCCTCTCACTCGTTCTTCGGCTCAGTGTGTGTATTCTGTTCT